AAAAAAACAAAAATTAACTAATTGATTTTTTCCAGTTTTTTAGTTAAGACGTTTAACCATTTTGACACCATTTGACGTAAAAATCGTTGAAAAACCCTTTGAGTTATTCAGCTAGAAAGAGAACAGGTTAAAATCGTTTTGTGTCAGTCCCACTATCTCTTCCCATCTGGCAAATGATGAAAGGAAAAAACGATCATTCAGGTCTATCAGGAATAGTACCAACATTCATATTCTGTCCATTCAAGAACCATCGAGAGAACGGTGAATAAGTTTTAAAAAGAGGAAACGGTAGAGAGGAAAACTGGATCAAGAGGTCACAACAGGAAGAGGGATCATTATTTCAACTTAGAGATGAAAAGATCAATTAGAAAAGATCCAACAAAGTCCATAAGACGTTTGAACGTGAGAGAGAAGTTTCAGCTATGACAGTCCAAAAGAGCAGTGAAAAAAAAAAATACTTGAAATCGTACGTGAAACCTGTGGGGCAAATTATTTCTCCAGGACAGCAAGTTAGAAGTTTAGAGAGGGCGAAGATCATCTTGAATACGTTGGAAAATGATCCTGGAATAATATATATATATATATATATATATATATATATATATATATATGAACATATTTGAACATTATTTCAATCCTTCATGAGCTTCCGATCCTTAACTATGATTAATTAATGATGAACATGTCATTTTCGTTTATGATCGATTCATCACGATTCCTCTGTTAAGCTTGGAGAGTAATTATACTTTCTTATTGCTCACAGTAGAGTACAGCAGTGTTATAAAAGCCTCGGAAAATTCCAGTAAGGTACCTTTAATCATTTCTAAGATACAACGGTTTCAAATCTTAATGTCAAAATTGAACAATTTTGCTGTTACACGATTTATACAATTTTATGGGTATATATACATACATACATACATACATATATATATATATATATATATATATATATATATATATATATATATATGTGTGTGTGTGTGTGTGTGTGTTATTTTTTCTTCACAATAGGAGTTAGTACGTTCACCTATCGTCCGGTTCACACAGCTTCCCGAGATTTTGAACAGGAGTAGTGGTTTATCCATTGTTTTCTGTTTAGGATTGTATTTTCCGGTTACTTCTAAAGTCTACTTCAACTCTCTACTTTTGGTAACGTCTCCGCCTAAACTCTGAAGTTTATACAATTATCGGATTTCCAGTTCTTTCTAATGTCTTTTCCTTTTCTTTTCACTTCCGGTAGCCCATTGTTTCTTAGTGGCGTTATCGCCTTGCTGAATTGATCAACATATATATATATATATATATATATATATATATATATATATATATATATATATATATATATATATATCACATAGTAGCCTGTTTCGCTGTATCACAGCTCATCATTGTGGCTAGATATCCGATTGCTTCAAGCCAGAATCGAAACTCAATCGACTTGGCATCACTCAGAGACTTTACCCCCAAACGCACACACAAGTACACATAGAGACATGCACACACACACACACACACACACACACACACACACACACACACACACACACACACACACACACATATATATATATAATCCTAGAATGCACACTATGCCAGAAACAATATGTAGGAAAATCTGAATGGCCCTTTCACTACAGAATTAATAATTATCGTAAGCGAATTAAATCGACTCCCCATGAAAAATTATTACCTGTAGAACAACATTTCCGCCTGGAAAAAACATGATTTCAAAACCCATGCCAAATTCACTATAATTGAGAGAATAGAAAAGTTCAGAGCAGATAACATTAGAAAGATTTTAGAGTCCCATGAAAATAAGTGGATACAAAGTCTAAAAACACAATACCCAGCCGGGCTAAATCATAAATTTAACAATATATATATCAACAAATCAAAACCTACCCACATTTCTCACCCACACAAGACAGACATGCTTACGGAGGTGTGGAGGCCTCACATTTATACACACACCCACATGAATATACACACTTACACACATCATACTCACTCACTCCCTAATGAGCCAAATGATAACACACACCTATAGCAATACACATGCTTACACATATCATACTCACTCACTCCCTAAGGACCAAAGAACACACACAAACACTAAACAGAGACACATCCCCTCACCAGGTCCAATAAAACTGTCAAACTGACCAGAGAATTCAGAATAATATGTATCTATCCAGCACTTATCTCAAATAACAACTTGACCAACACAAGGATTGTTAAAAGATTCATGTTAAAAAGATAAAAAAATAAAAAAAACAAATGAAAACTACAGACAAAAGTTCATTTTCTCCATCAAGACATTCATTTCTGTAGTTCACTGCTACCAGCAAGCAGAAATATTTCTCCTCCTGATGATGGCCATTTTGGTCGAAACTAGTCGAGGAATCTAAATGGAATAATAAAAAAAAAAAAGAATATTAATCTACAAACCAGTGTGTCTAAAGATTTTAATTTTTAATTTTTTATTTCTAATTTTTTATTTTCTTATTCTTCAATATATATATATATATATATATATATATATATATATATATATATATATATATATATACAGGGTGTATTTGGGTAGTAATTTTCATTTATAAACGTTTCGTTTACAGATATAGATTGTCCAAAGTTTAAATATAAATTGTCCAATGTCTGGCTTATCAAAGACGAAAGTATTCAGACATTGGACAATTTATATTTAAATATTCACTAGAAAGAAGTAAGTGGTCACGACGTCAAGCCTTGGTAGATGTGATGTGTACACACACACGCACATACACACACACACATACATATATATGTATTAGCACATATTACGCTAGCGAAGTAATAATATTATTCGTCATCAGTGACACTTCATAGATTTTCCTAATATTGCCTAAAAGCTGAAACTGGGAACTGAATAAAACAATAAACAAATATATTTATGCCTTTATCGCCCAACAAGCATATACAGGGTTTTCACAGACTTCGTGCGCACATTAATAAATTTATAAATTTATTTGTAAATCTATATTTTTTTAAGGTTTTATTGAAAATTTATTTAAGTTTCCACATGTCCTCCATCATTAGCAATACAAAGGGTAATACGATTTTGCAGTCGACGGAAAACATTTGCCAACTGATTGACAGTAATGTCTGAAATCACATTAGTTATTTTAGCTATACTTAAAACTAGGTACATTAAACTTTATAACATTTTTTACAGATTATTTCTGCCACAAATACAAATAAAGTTATAAATGTTTTAAAGTGCACACGAACTTTATGGACACGTTCTATATATAAATTTATGTTTAAAATTAACGTATCTGTCTATATTTCTGAGATGAGGTACTATGTACACTATTTACATTATTATTTACGGACTATTGTCCTCATCTTTGTTGCCATAATTATCACAACGTTTCGGTCGTTGTACGCTCAGGCCTTCTTCAGGTGGCTGGAATGTTGAACTGAACCCTTTATTTCGCTCGCTGGGGTTGATTGTTCTACTTTCTCGTGCCATGTCTAATGGATGTAACTTATCAGTTATGTCCTGTTAATTCACCTCTACAAGTTATCCACTGCCTTAATCAGGTATTGAACTCACAACTCCTTGGGTCTTGTCACTGGATCTAAACAACACCTTAAGGACACATGGCTCAGTGGATGAAGGCGTTGGTTCGATTCAAAGAGCAGTGAAAAAAGCCTTGAAATCGTACGGGAAACCTGTGATACAAATTGTTTCTCCAAGACAGAAAGTTAGAAGGTTAGAAAGGGCGAAGATCATCTTGAATAAGTTGAAAAATGATCCTGGAATAATATATATAACGGCGAGAGGAAAATATTCAGGCCTTCAGTAATGGTGCCAACATTCATAGTCTGGCTTCTATCTTCAAAGTCCATTTAAGAACCATCAAGAAAACGGCGAATAAGCTTAAAAAAGAGGAAACAGTAGAGAGGAGAACTGGATCAGGAGGTCACAATAGGAAGAGGGATCATCATTTCAACTTAGAGCTAAAGAGATCAGTTAGAAAAGATCCACATCAGTCCATAATAATATGAGAGAAGAGTTTCAGCAATGATAGTGCAAAGAGCAGTGAAAAAGACTTGAAAATGAAATCGTACGTGAAACGTGTGAGGCAAAGTGTTACTGCAGGACAGAAAGTTAGAAGTTTAGAGAGCAGGAAGATCATCTTGAAAAAGTTAGAAAATTACCTTGAATAATATATATATATATATATATATATATATATATATATATATATAAATAAAAAAGGCTTAAACACTAATATTCCATGGTCATAATTTATTCCATTGGAATCGTAAATACGATCCAATTCATCAGACCTACAAATTCAAAAAGAAAACAGAAAAAACAACTCCGGAAATAAAAACAGAATTTAGAGAGAGTGTAAGTATGAGGAGGAGGAGATTAAACCTTAACAGAGAGAGAATTTTAGGAGAGGTGGGTGGAAGGGGTTTAAGAAGAGAAAATGAATGCTGTCGGATGTCTAATGCATAAAAGATACATTTCGTGGTGATATACACACACCATAGATAATCTAATGTTAGAATAAGAGGGAGGAAAAGACGAGGTGGGAGAGAGGGATGGTATAACGGAAAGTAAAATTGAACGGCATGCCGCTTTGTAATTGAGAAAATTTGACAAATTTAATATCGACTACAGGTTACAATATATATATATATATATATATATATATATATATATATATATATATATTTGAACTTCAGTCATTTATGAGATTCAGATCAGTAGCTATGATTAATTAATGATGAACATATCATTTTCGATTCATCACGATTCTTCTGTTAAGCTTGGAGAGTAATTATACATTCTTATTGCTCAGAGTAGAATCCATTAGTGTTATAAAATCTTCTTAAAATTCCAGTAAGATATCTTTAATCATTTCTAAAATACATCAAAGATGAGAACAACAGTCCGAATAATGTAAATAGTAAAATTAACGTGTAGAACATTCTGGAAGTTTGTTTGCTGGTCGGGAAATCCGTTGGAAAGCTGCTTTGTCTGAATCTATCTATCTATCTATCTATCTATCTATCTATCTATCTATCTATCTATATATATATATATAATATAGTAAATTACGTAGAAAGAAATACAGCTCATAAAAGGCGATAGTTGAATTACAATAATATATAAATTAATCTCGGTACATCGAAGTTAAGCGCAGTAGCAGATGGGCAGTTCGGTCTCGTTATTTTATAGTTGAAATTGCTAGATGTAACTATTTCTGTGTTAACAGATATTTTTTTTCTGTTGCAGGTATCTCTCGTGGAACTCGACTCCAGAGGTACTTGCTTTCCAATAAATATACTGTTTAAAAAATAAACAGAATGTCTACTCACATATGGGTGTCCGCTAAAAATAACCTTTAAAGTGATAAAATAAATCGGATTAATAAAAAACAAAATCCATTACTTCTTCATATATATATATATATATATATATATATATATATATATATATATATATATATATATAGAAAGTTGCAAATTAAAAAAAATAATAATGTTTTTTATGAAAGTATTTATTTATTTATATATATTTTGATATTTCAGATTGACCTCAATCTTTCTTCAGGAATAACTGTTTGTTTACAAGTAGCGTCCGTCGCGAGATGCGGACGTCACGTGATATGGAACGCCACTGTGTTTGAATATTCTTAACGTAAATCTAACTGTAATAATATTTTAGATGTTGTTTGAAAAAATAAAAAAAAATTTTTACTATATCTAAAAAAATGTTTAACTATTGAAATATTTATAAAGATTTAAAATCCCCAAGTCTTTATTTAAACCTAGTTTATATGTATTTAATTTTAAAATCCAGTATTTTTCTTTTTTTCTGCGTGTGTATGTGGAACTAAAATCAGAATCTATCAATAAACATTTACAGTTTTCTAATGAGTGTCCTGATTGATTAAAGTGTTCAGCTATCGGGGAGTAAGGATTGTTTTGACGTATATATTAAATATATATATAGTATACGTGGCTTCTCATTATGAGATATATATGTATATATATATATAGGTAACTATACTCGTTTCGAAAACCTTCTCGAGGGAAAAAAAGGTTTTAAAAAAAAGAAAGAGCTAGAAACATGAAAGTCTGTCGAAAAAAATCGCACAGATACAGGTCTGAAGCCCAAAGAAAAACCCCGACACGAGTAAACAACTAACTAACAAAAGAGCTCAATACAACCGTAGAGCAGACCTAGATAAACCTAGTGAGCCAGACAAACCTACCCAGGTTTCACCTAAGCGGATCGTCAGGGAAAGCCGTTTCGGTGAAACCTGGGTAAATGAACTTTTGTCTGTAGTTTGTCTGGCTCACTAGGTTTATCTATCTATCTATCTATCTATCTATCTATCTATCTATCTATATATATATATATACAAGTATAGGATTGGTTTATACGGAATAAATTCCAATAACCAAAAAATAATATTCTTAAAAGAGTGCTCAATACAGAGCAGAGCAAATATAATTTATTCGAAAATTATAACATAAAAATGTTATAAAATCACTACAAAAATAGTCATTTTGTTTCAACACTTAAGAGTAGTATTTTATGGTTATTGGAATTTATTCTGTATACGTCAGTCCTATAAGGCTACGTAAATTTCAAAATTGGTTATTCCTAAATTTAGGAGGAAACAGGGCTTGTTACTTTAATTCCATTTAATTTTTAATAATTATATTGATCGTTTCGGCTCTCGTTTTTGAAACATGAGAACTCTTATGTAGCGAAGGAATCATTTTTTTTTTTAAATAATGATAATCTAAGCTCTACTTCAGTATGGAGCACTTTTTATTTTTAAATAAAAACAAAAATACTAAAGAACCCTGGATTATTTACCTAACATGTTCTTTCCTATTTTTCTACATACCTGCACACACACACACACACACACACACACACACACACACACACACACACACACACACACATATATATATATATATATATATATATATATATATATATATGAATACGCAGAGATCAATAGGTTCTTATATATGTTTTTATTTTTTTGAATTGATTTTTGATTTACTTTATAACATGGAAGACTTCAAGCTTGTATGAAAATATAAGAACCTATTGATGTCTGCGTATTCCTATAAGAACGGAAAGGATTTCTTAACGAACTGTTTATATGAGAAATATATATATATATATATATATATATATATATATATAGAGAGAGAGAGAGAGAGAGAGAGAGAGAGAGAGAGAGAGAGAGAGAGAGAGATTTAGTGTATTGAGTCAGCAGATCATTAGGCAAAAATATATCGTTAAATATATCAGACAATGATTTACAATTATGTTTGATCATGTGCCGTTCTAAATTTCGTATAGTTGCTTTAATTTCGGGAGAAAATAAAGACAGAATTGTCCAACATTGCTCAAAGTATTTTTTTATTATGCTCTTCCTTTATCTAAGCTTTCGGCTCACATGAACCATCTTCAGAGTGTTGGAGATTCGTCTCTAGCTGTCTCTCCGGGCAGAGAGGATCCCCAGGATCCTATGTCGAAAGCCAGAGTCTCGTCTCAGGAAACAGTTACCCGACCACGTTTTATACAAGGTCTACGGGTAATTTTTAGCCGAGCTTACGGATTTGGAAACCCCACATTAAATTCGGCCTTGTGCCACATCTGACCGCGTGTAAGCGGTTGGTAGATATCCTGTATTTGTAGATTCATTGGGGAATTCACTTGACTCATTTCTAGCAGTTGAATTATTCTACGCGCAGCTGGCGAATCTTATATGCGTTTTTCTTCTCATAAGTATTATCATTCATTACGAACCCTTGGTTGATTATTCTATTCAGTAACCTTCCCTAGGTTACAACAAATAGAAATCTACTGAAAATCAAGAATTAATGGTAAAGAGTTAATAGAAGCGTTACCGATAGAAGTGGTAATATTAACGGTTTCCTTATAAGGAAATATTCAGCAATTGCAGAGTAATGGTTTTTATGACTTGCAAAATATTTTAATACGCTACCAATGTAACGAGGAAATATGTAGGGAAATAGTAACCAAACTTATGTTTCGAATCAAAAAAGAGACAGCTGAAACAAATGCGATACTCTCATGGGTCCTTACTTATACCTACAGAATGAACTCTTCCTAACACTATGTATACTACGCCTCTCAAGAGAGAGGGTCGAATCCAGTCTAGACGATAGTAATTCACTCCAAACCAGGCTGACAGTCATGCTAACACCTTCCACATCTTGTATTATTATTTCGTGTAATATACCTTCGTTATTTCTACTCTTGTGTTCATGTTGTTTTTCCTTGGTCCTAACCTGGACCATAACAGATACATAATAAGTAAAGGCGGTTGGGAGAATTTGACACTCACAAGGGATACTGAAGGAAAGAGAGACTGACATAATCAGCAAATGGATAGCAGAAGATAAAATAGGAGGGATAGTGAAAAGGCACATCTTACTGAGCGCTACAAAGGATAGGATATTGTGGAGAGCCATAGACGATCGCCTCCTGATCAATGACACGGATACATATAAATAGTTAAAATAAATATGACTGAAAAAAAAAAGCTCTTATCTTTGAACAAATTGACAGTTTCCATTAATTATATCTTACTAAAATCAGATATTATTCCCTAATATATTTATATATATTTAATCAGATACACGTGCGTTCTGTATAAGCATACGTCAGGTTGGTATATATTTTCTTTTCATATATAGCTACACCAGTGTTATATCGATGCATTACCTATCTACAACCCAGACTGGCTCTCTTGCAATAAGAATGAGCAAAGAAAAAATCAATCTTTCTAAAGAAAGACACGCGGAACGTCACCAGCAATAGACTTGCCTGTATGATTATTACTTGTTGCGTTTATCGATACTGAAAGTGAAAGTGAAAGTGAAAGTAGGTATATGACTTGTCAGTGTCTGAAAACTCGTGGCCTATTTTCGACGAACTGGCAGTTTTGTCGCCTCTCCAATTAAATTTTAAGGCGCCTTATTTGGGTATGCAGTGTCTGATTTCAATATTGAAATCACCCTAAAACAATTTTCAAATATCAATGACTACAGAAATACTGTGTGTAATTAGTAATGTACTGATTGCAAAATTTAAAAAAAGAAATACAATATTACTGGTATTATATTTGAGTATAAGCTTTTGTTTTTAGTGTGGCGGGCACTACGTTTAGCTATCAACAAAAAAGCAGTGGCAACCAAAAGTGTCGTATGCAAATGACGGGTTTGTTATCATTTGTAGAGGCAAAAGCAGACACGGAATAAGGCTATTTTTTATGTATTGTCATATAACCAATAAATGATTACCAAAACAGAGAAAAGCTACTAGTGTATAGACATCAAGGTGAAAAGAGTAAGAAAGAAATAATTATATATATATATATATATATAATTATAGTTGGACTCAAATTATGTGAGCGTCACAGATGCAGATGTGAAGCTTCCATCGATGAATTTGGTTTGCATCCTCTCTCCTGTCGTCGTAGTGCTGGCCGCTTTCCACGGCATGCTGCCATTAAAGAAATCATCAAAAGAGGTCTGGATGCAGCTGGGTTCCCTTCCCAAATCGAACCCGAAGGCCTCGACCGCGGTGATGGAAAGCGGCCGGATGGAATTACCATTTTCCCTTTTAAAATGGGGAAGACGTTGATTTGAGATGCGACCTGTGCGGATATATTTTCGGTCGGTAATTTGATCAGGTGCGCGGTTGATACAGGATCCGTCGCCAGGGATACAGAGATGAAAAAAATAGTTAAATATTCTTCTCTTGCTGATAGATTTTTTTTTTTACTCCTGTGGCAGTGGAGACTTCAGGGGTTATTGGCCCTCGTTCGATGGCGTTCCTTTGGAGGATTGGCGCGATTGCGTCTCGATTAAGGTACGAGACTCGTTAATCTGAGTGGCTATTGTAGCGTGTCTCATTGGCAGTGGTTCGGAGGATTGGCCGGATGGCGTCTCGATTAAGGGACGAGCCTCGCGAAACGGAGTGGCTCTTGCAGCGTGTCTCACTGGCCATGGTTCGGAGGATTGGCCGGATGGTGTCTCGATTAAGGGACGAGCCTCGCGAAACGGAGTGGCTCTTGCAGCGTGTCTCATTGGCGACGGTTCGGAGGATTGGCCGGATGGCGTCTCGATTAAGGGACGAGCCTTGTAAAACGGAGTGGCTCTTGCAGCGTGTCTCACTGGCCATGGTTCGGAGGATTGGCCGAATGGCGTCTCGATTAAGGGACGAGCCTCGTGAAACGGAGGGGCTCTTGCAGCGTGTCTCACTGGCCATGGTTCGGAGGATTGGCCAGATGGCGTCTCGATTAAAGGACGAGCCTCGTGAAACGGATTGGCTCTTGCAGCGTGTCTCACTGGCCATGGTTCGGAGGAGTGGCCGGATGGCGTCTCGATTAAGGGACGAGCCTCATGAAACGGAGTGGCTCTTGCAGCGTGTCTCACTGGCCATGGTTCGGAGGAGTGGCCGGATGGCGTCTCGATTAGGGGATGAGCCTTGTGAAACTAAGTGGCTCTTGCAGCGTGTCTCACTGGCCATAGTTCGGTGGAATGACAAAGAATGACTGGACAAATCTACTTATCTCATTCGAGAATGAAAAGAGTGAAACAGGGAAGTGCAAGTTTGTGTCAGAACGTTTACAGTCCTGAAGCGGCGTTTTGGCCGTCCAGTGAGTTATGTACCATGCCTGATACGGGCTTAGGCGATCATGTATCTTTCGATATATGACTGACGAGGCAGATTTTTTTTTCCGCAATAAGTTGTCATTTCTTTCTGTGGTAGACCAGGTACCATTCAAGGCTAGAGAACCCGGTCTGTCCTGCTATTTACCCATAGCGGGGGGGGGGGAGAAAATGATTCATACCTTTCCCAAGGGTATTAGCACGTAAGTGAATGCAATGGATTCCACTGGAATTCGAACTCGACTCTCCGATTCCTCAATCCGTGCCTGCTAGTCAGTTATGTGCTATGCGTAATACACGCTTAGGCGATCATGTATCTTTCGATACATGACTGACAAGGCAGATTTTTCCCACAGTAGGTTGCCACTTCTTCCTGCAGTATACCAGTTGCCGTCCAAGGCTATAGAACCCGATATGTCTTGATATTTTACCCATAGCTGGAGGGAGAAGAAGAGGATTCACACCTTTCCCAAGGTTATTAGCACGTAAGTGAATGTAATGGATTCAACTGGAATTCGAACACGGCTCTCCGATTCCTCAATCCGTGCCTCCTAGTCAGTTATGTGCCATGCGTGATACACGTGTAGGCGATCATGTATTTTTCGATATATGACTGACGAGGCAGATTTATTTCCGCAGCAGGTTGCCATTTCTTTCTGCAGTAGGCCAGTTGCCATCCAAGGCTATAGAACCCGGTCTGTCCTG